AAAAAAAAAAAAAAATAAAAAAAAAATAAAAAGAAAACAGGAAAAATAGAGCAGCCAAGGAGGCTCAGACCCCGAGTGTGGGGGGTGTTCAAGCCACACTATGAACTAGGATAATCAGGTAGGCTTCATTCAGGTGAGATTTAAGGTCAGCTGAAAGAAAGGAAGTGGATTCACTAGCAGGCTGTCTGGAGAACAGGCCCTAAAGCAGAACTTTGGGGGTGAGGGAGGGCATGCCTCAGTTTTTGAGAAACGGGAAAGAAAGCCAAGCCACTAGGACTGGCGTGCAGTAGAGAAGAAATCCTAATAAAAAGAACGATAAGAAAGAAAGCAGGCCCGGGGCGTTGAAAGAGGCCTATTACATAAGGAAAATGGCTTTTACTCACATCAAGTGGAGGTATTTTTCAGGTTTGGAAGGAGAAGTGTCCTGGTCTGCTTTCTATTTGTAAAGGACTACCCTGCCTACTATGCTGAGAAGTAGCTTTAGGGGGACACGGGCAGAAAGGAAGTTACACGGGGAGTGTAGTGACTGCAGAAGAAGAAGGTCCAGGCTCCCACCCGTCAGGGTACTGTGTGGAGCGAGGGAAGGCGGGGAGGGCAGGGGCTGGGTGGATTCTAGAAACACAGCCAAACAGAGGTCAGTGAGTATAGGATGTGAGAGGAACAGTGACATCAAGGATGAGTGTGTATAACGATGAAAGATGAAAGTGTAATCGTTGAGCCAGGGAAAGGTGAAGACGGAACAGAAAAGAGGCAAGTTACGTTTAGGACACATTGTGTTACAGATGTTTGTTGAAATTTTCAAGTAGAAATGTTCTGTAAGCAGTTTGGATTAGGACAGGTTTGGGCCAGGTCCGGACCATGCAGCCGCTTCCCCCAGCTCTCCCGAAAGATAGGCTGCTGGACGGTGAGGCCCCTTCCCCCCGTCTCTCAAGGCCAAAGCTGGACTGTGCAGTTCCCGCCTCCAGCATTCCAAGGAGCTTATCTCTCTGGGCCAGGTCTGTACAGCCCCTTCCGTCAGTGTTCCGGGATGATCTGCTCACAGACCACGTCCTGACTCAGACCCTGACACTGCAGCACCAGAAGGTCAGCACATATGTCCTCGGCTCAGGCCCTACATATGTATGCCCCACTGCCGCGCGCGATTTCCCTGACCTAACTTGTTGGGTCTCAAACCCCCCCCCCCCCACCCCCCGGGGGCTCAAGATGCCAGGTCCTTCTGTGCTCTCCCTTCCCTCCCGGGAGTTCTTTCCTTGCCTCAAAAAAATCTTTCCCAACTTCCCAGTCCCGGCTAAATGCTATCTCTACTCCGCATCCCCAACCTCTCATCTTGGTGTCACAACCCGGGGCTGACAGGAGGGGCCTCTGTGCCGCCCTGGTCTTCCTCTGGCCGGTGCGCAGCCCTGTCCTCCGTCTCCAACCTCTGAGGGCAGAAGTCCAGGCTAGATAGATACTTTTGGAGGTCATCAATACAAGAATTATTTAAAGGTAAGGAACCAGATGAGATCTCAGGGAGAGGATGCCGTAAAGACCAGGCCTAGGGTGAGGTGCTCATCCAATATTAGAAAATTAGTGAGAGAGAAGGGACCAAGAAAGGAAACTGATCCAGGTCAAAAGAATGAAGCATGTTGGCAGGCACTAGAAAGGATTTTAAGAAGCAACTCGTCAATTTTGCTAAAGCTTTTAAGATGGGCTACTAACCCCAAGGTCAGCAGTTCTAAACCACCTGCCACTTCATGGAGAATGACGGGACATCCTTAAACAGACTAACCCCTTAAAGAGTTAGTCTCTGAAACCCACAGGGACAGGTCTGCCCTGCCCTATAGAGTCGCCTGAGTTGGCACTGGTTCAATGGCAGTTAAGTTTTTGTTGTTGTTAGGTAAAGACCAAACATGACACTGAGGAATGGTTTCAATGGAGTCATACAATGAACACATAAGCTAAATGAACTCAAGCCTGGAGTGGTGTGGGTTTAAGAGAGAATAGAGGGTGATGGAAATTTTGGAAATGGATAGTGGTGATAACTGCTCAACAAGATGGATGTAACCAATGTCACAGAAAGGAAAGGGAGAGAATGGGAGAAAATAAATTAACCCTGTCCAGGAATTGTGTCGCAAAGAGGAACTGAGGGGGAAGTGGAATCAAGGGAAGGTTTTTTATGGTGTGAAAAAACAACAGCCGTCAGACAGGGCAAGATAAGACAAAATAATAATTTATAAATTATCAGGGGTTCATGAGGGAGCGGGGCGTGTGGGGAATAAAATGAAGACCTGATGCGGGGGGGCTTAAGTGGAGAGCAAATGTTTTGAGAATGATGAGGGCAATGAATATACAAATGTGCTTTACACAATTGATGTATGTATAGATTGTGATAAGAGCTGTATGAGTCCCTAATAAAATGATTTTTTGTAAAAATAACAGCATATCTGCATGTGATGAGAACAATCAAGCAGTGAACAATCAACCTTTAGTATCTAGCTAACTGAGGGTGAACTGCTACAACAGTCTTTTGAATAAGAGAGGGGAAATGGAATTTACTGAGTTATGTAAGATTTGGCTTCATAACTGTCATATTGTCTTTTAATTTATTGACTTAATCTGCTTTCTACTGAGAAATCTTATAAAAAGATTAAGCATATGACTAAAAGAGGCTCTGAAGAGCCCTAAGAAACATCTCTGTACTTTAGTGCACGAAGCTGTGTTAGCAGCATCTTGGGACATCACAGATATGACAGCTGATGCGATGCTACAGTACCCTTGATTGGACTTTACACGGAAAGTAATAATCTTCTGGTACGGGGATTCCCTGTGATGACTTCCTGAACTAATAAAGCACTGACACCAAGTGTCTACAGTGCACATTTTATGTCGTACAAGTTCAGGTTATGTAAGTCATATTCCACATAAATGCCCCATCAGATGCTTTATGGACTAGATTCTAGAAAGATGACCAGTGCTAGGTTGAATGGTATTTTCTGTACATTATCTTTCTTATGGATCAAATCTCACATTACAGCAGTGGTTCTCAATTCTAACAGTACATTAAAGCCAACTGGGAACCGAAACGTACTAATTAAACGTTTAAACAATCTGACATCAGGGCACTACCACAAAGCTCATGGGCATCAGGGCAGAAGCACAAGCATTGGTGCTTTAACTCCGTAGGTGGAAATGATGACGTCTGGCAGGTACATGTTCTAAGCAAACTAACACTAAATTTTAGCTTCTGGAAAGAAACAAAGACTCTAACACGATTACATTATAGCTCTTCTTTGTCAAGTGAACACACCGCCAAAACACACAAACTCATTACTGGTCAGACCCTTCGCAAGCCTAGAGGGCAGAGCTGAACTGCCCCACAACGTCTCAAGAGCTCGCCGTCTTCACAGTCTTTCTCCTGCAACGTGACCAGTGGGCGCAAACCACCACCCTTTTGTAACAAGTGCAAGTTGCTGCAAAAAATAAAATTACTCTAAAATTCACTTACTATTTCTAAGGTATGAGTATTTAGCAAGACAACAGGAAACTCAATGATTTCATGTATGAACTCCGGCGGGTTACCCTCTTCACATGTTGCTTCAAAGTCAATAATACAAATATAATCATAGTAATTGCTGGCACGACTGTCTTCTTTCAACATCAGCTTCTGTTTCTTACAATAATTTTTTAGCCTCTTCTTTAGTACATCTTTTACTCCTCTAAGGAAAAACAAGAATAAAAATGGAGGGTAAACGTTATAGTTAATAATTTAAACTCTTACCTGCTAGCACAGGGTTGAACACTGCTGTCACCTCCCACTTTAGCATACATCAGGTAACATAAATGCACAGGAAGCAAGACTCCAAGTAAAGTTAGTAAAAAAACCTAATTAAATTATAATGATCCAAACGGAATGACTGTCTCAAATGTAAATTTAAGATGGTGAGAAAAATAGTATGCAGATTTTTTTTTTACAAGGAAGTACCTTTTCACTTTAGGATGAACACTTTCTCCTCCCCTATTATTAAACCAATTTCAGGTCAAAGCCTTGTTAGCATCAACACTTACATGGCCATATTACCTTAGACGAGGGAACTTCAAAAAGTTTGTGGAAAATTCTAATATCTTTTAATTCCATGGGATCGGTTTTGAAAAAATTTGAAACCCACATCTAATTAAAGATATACACACTGGCTATACAGCATTGTTTTCTCATTCAGTAAACACCACCAAAGACACAGTGTGCATACATTAGAGAAGACCTGGTGCTGTTATGGGATAAGGCTGGGACTGACTGCTAACTAAAAGGACAATGGTTCAAACACAGCAGCTGCTCTGCAGAAGAAAGACAAGGCTGTTTTCGTCCACAAAACTTTCGTGTTGGGTTGCAATCCCTGAGGTTAGCAGTTTGAAAATACCAGACACTCCTCAAAAGGAAGACAGGACTTTCTACTCCCATTCAGAGTTAGTCTCGGGAACTCACTGGGACAGTTCTCCCTGCCTTACAGGGTCACCACAGTCAGAATCGATTCTATGGCGGTGAGCTTAGTGTTTCTTTGTTTTTTAATGGAAACTATACAAAGGGCCAAAAGAACATTTTCCATCTCATTAAAATCAAAAGAAATTGACAAATAAGACATAACTACCATCAAGCAACTGAGCAACTCAACAACAAATAAATACATACATACCCTGTTTCCCCGAAAATAAGACAGTAGTGTCATACTAATTTTTGCTCCCAAAGATGCGCTAGGTCGTATTTTCAGGGGATGTCTTATTTTTCCATGAAGAATACGGTACACATTTATTGTTTATTGTTTTATTAAAAGAGACCTCGCACTTCCTGTCTGCTCCGGCTGCGCTGTGGCCAACAGTGAGCTGAGCGGCGGTGCCCACTGCTATGGTCCAGAGTGCAGTTACGGTAGCTTTGGGGGGCCTTATTTTCGGGGGGATGCCTTATATTTCAGCGAGAGGCAAAACTGTAAGTAGGTCTTATTTTCGGGGGATGTCTTACTTTCGGGGAAATAAGGTACTTAAGGTGACTAGACAGAGACTCCTATACAAATTGCTGATAGATCTTTAAACTATTCAGACTTTGACTCAGTAATCATACTCTCGCCATCTAGAGTTGCACACAAAGAACCCTGTACAGGGATGAATATCACAGCATCGCTAGCTCCATTACAGTCGTTTACAGTGAAATTTTCTTTCGTGTTTTCAAGATTCCCTAGGATGAATTCATAGTACTTTTATATTTTGTAAATAGTATTTCTGAATTACCTGGTTTCAAGCTTGAATTCTGAAAGTTTAGCTCTGAGTTCGTCCTTGCTCATTCGATTAATACAACCATTGGTAAAAGCAATTTCTTTGTAAACTGGGTCACTGAAAGCACTCGCATTGGAACCAGAGCATTTCGTTCCTTTTGTTTCTTGGCCATCAAGTCTGCATCGCGGCTTTCTCTACAAAAAAACAAAAAGGGACAGAATATGGTTTACAATTAGTCTAAACATCTTAGATTGAAAGATTTTAAACTATGGGGGTCTTATCTTGCTGCATGTTAAATGAAAAGCAATCCCTGTAGCCAACAGAGGGAGTGCAGGAGAGGAAAAGGATCTAAACCCCAGATACAGACAGTCTGTCCTGTCTGATTCCACCCAGGGGGTCCTTCAAAGGCATGGTCATTACACACAAGGAGCACTCTCAGAGCCCCCTCAGCACTGGGCTCCCTCCAGCAGACCATCGACTAGTTACAGGACTAGCATGACTTGTGAGCCTCCGATCTTCAGTTTCCCTGTCCATAAAATGTACTCATAACTGTCTTAAAAAGTATTTAGTCATGGTAATGAGCACTGTAGTGCAGCAGTTAAGCGCGTGGTGGCTAACTGAAAGGTAGGTGATTTGAGTTTACTAGATACTACAAGGTGGAAAGATGTGTCAGTCAATCTGTTTCTGCACAGACTCCAGCCTTGGAAATAGTATGGGGATGTTTTGCTGTGTCCCACAGGGTTGCTATGCATCAGTCAAATCTCTAGCATATACCAAGAAAAATGGCAAATATTATATGGGCAATAATATTATAAGGATTAAATGAGATTCTGTATGTCAGGCTTCTAATACCATGCCTATAGAGGCTATTAATAAATGATAGCTTTACATATTACCATGACAAAATATCCTAAAACGGGCAGCATGTAAATCTAGTTCAAAACTGAAGGACCCAAAACAAAGAAGGAAATGAGCATAATATCAAAAGTCAAAATGCTATGAATATACCAGTTCTTCAGAAGAACCAGCCTCTCAATGACATGGGCTGATGGTGGCCACCACAGAGGGTTCACACAGAACAACTGTGAGGATGGCACGGAGGAGACAGTGTTTTGTTCTCTTACGTGACCTTCACCAAGAGGCAGAGAAGCGATGTGTTTGGTTCTCATGTGCGATGATGAGTCAGAACCGACTCTCAATGGCACCAAACAAAAACATCCACCATGAAGCGCTCAGGCAGTAACCTAAACGGTGATGCTTCAAACGGATTCAGTGGCTTTGGGGAAGAAAAAAAAACAAGTTATCTGTCCCCATAGAGCAGCGGTTCTCAATCTGTGGGTTGTGACCCTTTTGGGGACCAAATGACCCTTTCACAGGGGTCACCTAATTCACAACAGTAGCAAAATGACAGTGATGAAGTAGCAACAAAAATAATTTTATGGCTGGGGGTCACCACGACATGAGGAGCTGTATTAAAGGGTCGTGGCATTAGGAAGGTTGAGAACCACTGCCATAGAGATTCTAGTCTAGTAAGCCCAATGGAGCAGTCCTCCTCTTATCACATGGGGTCACTGAGTCAAAATCAACTTGACAGCACACAGCAACAATGAATTCTAGTACACAGTTTTCCTCTTTCCTTAAGTCAACATTTATGGCTTAAGAAAACCATGATTAAGTTCTATATACTCTACCTAACCCAAAGCCAAACTCACTGCTGTTGTCAATTCTGACTCACAGTGACCACGTAGGACAAAGTAGACCTGCTCCATCGGGTTTCCACGGCTACAAATCCTTACAGAAGCAAATGGTCACATCTTTCTCCCACAATGCATTTGTGCTGAGTTCATCTCACACACTTTGGGCATGTGATCAAGAAGGGCCAGTCCCTGGAGAACGATATTATGCTTGGTAAAATATAAGGTCAGCAAAAAAGAGCAGGAAGCTCAGCAAGATGGACTGATACAGGACTACAGACATAGCACAAGTATGAAGCTATTGCAGGGCTAGGCGGTGTTCCCTCCATTCTGTTAGACAGTCACACAGAATCACTAGCAGCCAGAATTGGCATGAAGGCACCTAATCGCAACGAAGTGAGTCCCACTTTACCACACTGGCCCTATGTGAACATGGATTACAATTAATTATAGATTAAGAAGGGACACCCAGGAGAAGGCTACATGCAGTCCTGGACACAACATGGATTTTGATGGCTCAGTCCCCAGTGAACAGTGACCCTCCCGAATGCCAGGTCTACACTAATGATTTCCAAAAAGGGTGATCAAGTCAAAGCACTAAGGACCAGATGAAAATATCAAAAATTCCACAAAAAAACCTAATATTAGCCTAACTAAATTTAAAACACAGATCGGCACTGGCATCCTCCCCAGAGTCTCTCTACCTGTCTTATGTCACAGCACTGGCTGTATGCTGAGCGCCGTACACACAGATAGCACGGTACTGTCCATTGGCCTTCACAGTAGTGTCACTGTGAATTGCTGAGTACAGCTAACTCACGCGGCCCTGTGGGTGCACACACTGCTACATAGGCTTTTTGAAAGCAGATCGTGGCGACATTCTGCAATAGCCCTATCCTTGAGAAGGCTGATCCTCATGTTTTTTCAATAAGCATGATCTGGTTAAGACTGTTTTCCCTCTTGACTCATTTTAAAATTTGTTCTAGTTTTTATTATTTTCTGATTTCGTTTGGATTGAGGCTTTTCTGTGTTCAATTTTGTTGTTTGGTAAATTGTATGATTTTCTTTGTATGAAATCCACGATAGGGAAATCTATAGAGACAGTAACTAGATTAATAGTTTCGTAGGGTTATGGCAGGGGAGACTGGGAAGAAATGGGGAGCCAATAATACAAAAGGAAGAATACAAAAATGAAGAAAACGTTCTAAAATGGTTGTGGTGATTGCACACTTTTTAATATATTCAAATCACTGAATGATATCGTATATGAATTATGTCAATAAAGAGTTAAAATAAAAAAGTAAGCTCAAAAATTATAAAACTTATCTACATGATGATGCTACAGACAGTATCTCAGATTAAAGAGGGAGACAGGATGTTATGAGTATTTTTGGGGGGGGGGGTGTTATTTTTTATTAGTTTCTTTACAAAAAATAGGAAAGCCTGCAATAATAGGAAAGTGAATCAGATAACTAAGCAAAGACCCAGAGGATGAGCATGCAGGACAAAGGGAATGTATGAAAATTCTCAAAAATAACTTCCACCATTAAAAAAAAACCCACAAGGAACTCAGATGCAATGGAAGCAAATGGCAAAGACTAAGATGAATTTAGCAAGGGAGGTCGGAGCCAGATCCTACCTGGAGGCATGCTGAGGTGATAATGAGGGGAGTAACCCTATCATTCTCAGTGTTTCCCAAAATGGGCAACACCACTCCTTTGGGATCACAGCTACGATCCAGGCAGGGATGCAAAAGCAGATACCTACTTTATCCAGGTCTGTGGGCTATAATACAAAAAGTGTTTAATTGCCAGAGGGAGCCACTGAGTAATATTTTTCCCTGAGAAAGGAGTGGTAGGCCAAATAAGCTTGGAAGTGAACCTATGTTCTGCTGTGTGGAGAAACAATTGTAAAGGGGAGGAGCAAGAGCCAGGAAGTCTTGGGCAACAACTCTAGGAGTTGCTTATCAAAGAAAACGGCACACTTTGGCATTAGTTTAGTCTGCAACACTCAAAAAAACCTAACCAAACTCACTACCATTGAGTAGATTTCATCAGAGCAACCCTGTAAGGGAGAGCTGCCGCTGAGGGTTTTCAACGCTGTAAATCTTCACAGGAGCAGAAACCCTCACCTTGGGCTAAGGATGGAAAGAGGTGGGCTGGCTTGTGTTTTTAATTAAAAAAAAAAAAAAACTTAAAAGGCATAGCAAAGGCATATCATGTGATTTTTAAAAACATAACTTTTGGAATCGGAGGAGAAATGCATGGCTAGTTGACTTTATGAACAACTGCGTCCACAGGACAGAGGAACTGGAGGTTCCTGGCTACCATTACTGAACAATTTAATCAGAGATTCTGTAAAAGAAAAGGTGATCAAAGGTGAAAACGTAGAGCACAATTTCAAATCCTCAGACTCTAGGGAGCATGGATGAGCCCCTCAAATATCCTAAGATAATCTTGAAATCTTAAAGCAAAAATACTCCCTGAAATTTTCATAAAACCAAGCAATAGGTTAGCTTACCTATTTAAGAAACTATCTACGTGGGCTCACGTTGACCACAGTAAGTGAAAGATTACAAAGGAAACTTGAAGATGAGTCTTTCTCTCCAGTCAGAGTTACAGTCATGGAAAGCCACAGGGGTGGGTCCACCCTGTCCTGTAGGGTCACTATGAACTGGAACCAGCTCTGTGGCCTTGAGTTTGTTTGTTTTGGGGCAGTGCGTTTATGTTAATGAGAGGAACGTGGGCGGAAAAGAGGAGCACAACTTGAAAAATGTGGTCACCATCAGTAAGTTGCACAAGTAGCAATTGTTTTAATTGCTGTTGGTTTTGTTGTGCATATTCTCAAAAACAACAAAAAATAAAATGTCGGGGATAAATGTTCCAGGGGAGGGTCATTCCTTGGATTCACTTCGCATCTCCGAAGTTCCTTTTCCCCCAGCTTTACGGAGCGAGCGAGCATAAAAACATGTCTACAGCGAAGAGACACGCAGCACGGTTACCATCAAACAAACAAACCTCAGGTTTCCTCCGTGACACTACACTACCGCTTGCAGACCAACTACTTGTCTCCGTGCATCCAGCCAGCTAAGAAAGGGCACATGCCCCCAACAACCAAAACCCACCAACAGGCGCGAGGGGTTACACAAGAGGGTAACAGGAAAGGCTCCAAAGCAAGCCTGGGCACAGAAGGTTTACACTCGAATTCTCGCTCAGGGTTTACGAAACCACAGTAACTTCTCTCGGCCACTCTTCCCCCGGGATAGTTCCGACCCGAGCGCATCACTGACGAGCAGTACAGCAGCACGCAGGGACGGGCTGGAGCCCAGGCTGCACTTTCTGCCAGACGTCTTGGAGTCGGAGCAGGGGGCGCAGAGGCGGCGAGGGGCACGTGGACGGGGCGCCGGCGGCCCGCGGCGCGCGCAGCAAAGGTGCGGGCGGACTGCTCACCTCGGGACTCGGGCACGGCGACTCCTCCCCACGCTCGGGATCCCGCGACTCTAGCGGCGCGAGAGCCACGGCCTCGCCGCCGGGCCGCTGGATCTGCGGGTCCCCCATGCCGGGCGCCGGGGAGAAGGCGGCTGCCGACGGCGGACGCTCACACGCTCAGCCGACCCGGCTCGGAAACCCTGCTTGGCGCGATGGAAAATCTACCGCGCTCGCGTTCCCGCGGCGGCGGCCACACAAACTCCGGCGAACACCGCCCACTTCCGGAATCGCGTGGCGTCATCACGCCGCGCAGGCGCAGTGAGCGCGCGCGCGCGGAGAGGCTGGACGTCGTCGGCCGAGCGAAAGGAGGGCAGGGAGAGGGGGAAGACGCGCACCGAGGTGAAGAGGACTCGGACGGCTCCGGGACGGCGGGCTTCCTGGCGCCGTGGGAGTTACGGTCCTTACGGAGTCTAGGGGCTCGTCACCGAAGGACACCGAGTAAACGACCCCACTAGGACTCCCTGAGAAGAAAAGGGGGAAGTGGTATGGAGAAGTAAATTTTCACCACAGCAAATAATAAAGCTTTTCTTTGAGGCGTTGAAGACTTGCACCTCAGGGAAAGAAGAGGAAACGGGGCCGGATTTGGGTAGTGACTTTAAACACTCAGGAAACGGAACCAAACGGTTCTTTGAGAGAAACAATACAACGTGGCCACCTTTCTGGAGGGAATTTCTAGATAGCGCAGGTAAGAAGAGACCATGGAGTTGGGTGGACAGTCTTAATTGAGAGGATCCTGGAGGCCAAGTGGTTTAGAATTTGAGGTGCAGGATTCAGAAGAGGAAAGTATGGGCCATACTGTAGTTGTTAAAAACGTTTGAATGTTGTGTTTCTTACTTAAATTATATTATTTAACTCTGGGCTTACTTTGAAATTTCTGTGTAATGTTTTGTAAAAAAAAAAAACGGCAAGGTTAGGGTAAACACTTGGTGGTCGAGAACGGATTACTCTGTTTTTAGTTATTTCTTTTTGTTTTGTTTTTTAATCATTTTATTAGGGGGTCATACAACTCTTATCACAATCCATACATATATCAATTGTGTAAAACACATTTGTA